AGACAGCAACTAGATTCCTTCAACACGCCGTTCACAACGTCCAACAAACAAACAGTCTGTGTGGGAGTAAATGAGAAAGACAACATGTCATCCGTCATCTGAGGGAGGGCTGTCACGAAGCAGACCATGAGATGACCCACGGGGTGTAACTGGCACAGCCAGCTGCAGCAATGCTAAACAGCTCTCGACACAAAGACGGTCGAGGTGGTTCAGGGAAAGTGATAAGTGAACAGAGGGATGCCATCCGAGAACGTAAAGCTGTGAGGGAGAGAGAGAGGGAGAGGGAGAGGGAGAGGGAGAGGGAGAGGGAGAGGGGGAGAGGGAGAGGGGGGGGGAGAGAGAGAGAGAGAGAGAGAGAGAGAAAGAGAGAGAGAGAGAAAGAGAGAAAGAAAGAGAGAGAGAGAGAGAGAGAAAGAAAGAAAGAAAGAAAGAAAGAAAGAAAGAAAGAAAGAAAGAAAGAAAGAAAGAAAGAAAGAAAGAAAGAAAGAAAGAAAGAAATGGAGATTCTGGAACTGAAAAGAACAGCAGCTACATGAAGAAAAGTCACCAAACAGTCACAATAACAGGCTAAAAAAAGACAAAGTGTTCTTAAAGACAATGCATTTTAAAAAAAGGAGGGAGGGTGGCTTTGATTTAAATCACAGCCTCACTGTCCTGAAGTCAGCATCAAATGGATTGACATGCATGGAATGGCAATTCTGGAAAAAAGAAAATGGGGCAGAGAAAAAATGTGAAGAAACAAAGGCCCAGTATTTCCCCATTTATCATGAGAGACTACAACATACAAATCCAAGAAACAACAAATCCCAAAACTTAACTTTCAACAAAAAGGCAGAAATTGTATGATGGTGGGTACAATTCCCCACAACTCAAAAAGAAAAGAAATTAGGTAAAGCAAGACCCAACTAAAAAAGACCCAACTATATGACGTCTACCAGAGACACACTGAAATACAGTAATGGGAAATATAAATAAAACAGTAAGGTAAAAAATGTTCTCGAACTCACTTTTAAATAAGAATTATCAGATAAGAGGGTCAATTTATCACTAAGACACAAGTATAGATAGATGTGTATGTACCCATTAACAGAGCTTCAAAACACATGACACATAAACAGAAAATACCAAAGGAAGGGACAAGCCAGGCAGCGGTGGCTCACACCTGTAATCCCAGCTACTCAGGAGGCAGAGATCAGGAGGATCCTGGTTCGAAGTCCCTAAGACCCTATGTCAAAAAAACGTATCTTATAAAAAGAGGCTATTGGACTGGCTCACACGTGTAGGCCTCGAGTTCAAGCCCCAGTAATGCAAAAAAATAAAAAATAAAAGAAATAAACAAATCCACATGATACTTACACAAAAAAATTGAAGGTAAAAGAGTTAAAAAAAAAGTTGAGCTAATACTATCAACCAAATTACCAGACAGGCTCCCAACAACGCACCCGGCCACACTGGCCAGTCCAGAGCACAGCCTCTTCTGAGCAGGGCTGCTCATCCAGAGAATGCACAGGCTTGGCCAGAACACAGTCCCAAGAGTTCAAGAGACCAGAATCATGGAGTTCTGCTGTGACCACCAAGGTCACAGAAATCAATGACAGTGGCATATTTCAAAAATCCCCAAATAGGCTGGAGGCGTGGCTCAGGTGGGAGTGCCTGCCTAGCAAACACAAGGGTCGAGTGAAAACCCCAAGCACTATCAAAGAACACTAAAAACAAAACATTCACAAAAAGAAAGCAAAACCCACATCTATAAACCCACGATAAAGAAATCACCAAGGAAAATGAGATAATATTTAACTGAATGAAAATCAAACAAGATATACCAAAACTTGCATGTGACAGCTAAGACCAGGCTTAGAGGGAAACTTACATCTTAAATGTTCAAAACTCACAGTGAACAGAAGCAAGAAAATAATAAAGATCAGAACAGAAAAACAGAAGGAAAAAACCCAACAAAGTAATAAAAAGTTGGTTCTGTGAAAAGATGAATAAATTGAAAACCCATAGCATACCTGATTGAAGAAAGAAAAGGGTAAACATGAATTTAAAATGTGTGCACTGGTCCTAGGGGCTTTCACTACAGGCCCTGCAGACATTAAAGCAATACTATGGGGGCATGCTCAAGGGGTAGAATGCCTGCCTAGCCAAGCAAGGGCAAGGCCCTGAGTTCAAACCCCAGTACCACCAAAAAAGCACTATAACCTCTGTGCCAATAAATCCAGTAACTTAGAGGAAGAGAGCTGAATCCTTGCAGACACAACTACCCAAACCGACACAAAATGAAATAGAAAAAGCTGAATAGCCTGATATTTGATAAAGTAATTCAATTGTATGGAATATTTCCTACAAAGAAAATTCTAGGCGAAATAGCTTCAATGACAAATTCAGTCAACACGTAAGGAAGAAATTACACAAACGTTACATTTTACAATTTCAGTATATACAGGAGGGAACACCTTGAAGCTTACTTAATTACGCTACATAACCCTGACAACAAAACCTGGCAAGAGAAGAAAATCACAGATCAGAGTCCAAACACACACAGGCTCTCAAACACTAACGAGTTCAACCCAGCACTACACTGAATACACCACGACTCTCAGAAATGCACAGTAACAACCAGGAAAAAACATCACAACTGACCACATTAGTAAGAATAAAGTGGAAGTATGATCTACTCAACAGATGCAGGAAAAAAATTCGGCAGAATTAGCTTGGTGTTGGGGTGAGTCTTGGTAACTAGGGTGGAAGCTCCCTCAACCTAGACAGGTCTCTGAACATCCCACAGCATTGCATCTTACAAACCAAAGACAGGACCGGGGCAGGGATGCCCACGTGTACCTCCCTTAGTCAACATTCTAGTGGGCTTCCAAGCCACAGCATTAAGGCGAGCAAAAAAAAACCCAAATGCATGCTAAGCAGGAGAAAAGTGAAATCATCTTCACTCAAAAGTAATGAAAACAATAGGAACATCACTACTGAGACCCCCATTCACATAAACATAAAACTCACCCACTAAGAGTGTGTAATTCAGGGGCTGAAAGTGGGGCTCAAGTGTTATGTGCCTGTCTAATCCCAGCAACACCCACCCCCCAAAAAAAAGAGTATATAATTCAGCTGGATGTGAAGATAGGAGGATGGCGGTTCAAGGCCAGCCTATCAAAGAGTTAGTGAGACCACATCTCAACAAGCAAGCCAGGTGTGGTGGTGCACATCTGTAACCCCAGCTACACGGAGGCACAGGTAGGAGGACTGCAGTCCAGGTCAGCCCCAGGCAAAAAACTTGAGATCCTATCTGAGCAGTAACTAAAAGCAAAAGGACCGGGGGCAGGGCTCATGTGGCAGAGCGCCTGCCTAGCAAGTGCAAGGCCCTAAGTTCAAATTCTGAGTTTTACAACCATCACCCCCCAAAAAAGCTCCTTACTCCTTAGCTGTCATGCCTGCTCCTAAAAATACAATTTTACACAATTACAACAGCATCAAAGAACATGACATACTTTAGGTTCAGAGCAACCACAATTGTAAAATACCAATGGGCTTTCTGGTAGGAAATGACCACTTGTTTCTATTTATTTTTCTATCTTAAAAGTTTTACTTATTTAGTTTTTGGAAAAGCAAAGGATCTAGACTAGCTGAAAAAATTCTGAAGGGCAAATCTGGGGACTCAGCTATCAAGCTTTGCCATAACCTACAGTTAAGAGATTAGGACACAGCTCTGGGGTAGAGCATGAGCCGATATGCACAAGGCATATCGGGTTCCAGTCCCGGCACCACAAAACAGACCTACAGTTAACAAGAAGAAGAAAACAGGAGAATGGTTTTACAGCCTCTGTAGGCATAGACTTCCCAGGGTGGATACACAATCTAACAGACATTTCTAAAAACTTATAAATTTTACTTCAACAAAACTAAAAGCTCTGCCTGCAAAAAGACATGAAAAAGAAACAGCAAACTTCAGGGAGGAAACAGTCCCAAAACCGAGACTTGCATCTATAATCTATCAAACACACCTATAAATCAATGAGGACAAATACATGAAAAACAGACACTTTGCTAGAAATAACAGGGTGCTCTTTAATATGTGAATATAACACATAAACGTAAGCACACAAAAAGGTGCTAAACTATTCAGTTAGCACCTTTCTTTTCGGGAAAAGAAAATTAAAGTTATAATGAGAAATGATTCCACGCCCAGCCAAGTAGCCAAAATCACAAAAGACTGACCATGGCTAATGCTATGAGGCCACGGGCTGATGGAGACAAAGGGAACAGCAGGTCTGGGCACCTCTTGAACAGGTTCACAGATAGTGAACCACCCCCCCCACACACACACACACGCACACACACTTGCCCATACCTGTGGACTGGGCAGCTCTGCTCTTGGCTATTTAGCAAAGAGAAATGCAAGCAGTGTCCACAAAAGATGACAAAGCATTCACAGCACCTCTGCTCAAATGGCAAAAGCCTAGACCCCAGTATCTCAAAGGAAAATGAAAAAATAAATGACAAAACATACAATTTTCCTTACCAATAAAAATAAGCTACAATGTGCAGAATGATACAGCTGAGTTTCAAAACCTGCAGAATAAAGGAAGTCAGGACCACGGGGATACTAGCTCATTGCTTGGTTTGTATGGTCAGGAAAATAATCTATGGTAACAGAAATCAGAACCCTGTGTCACTTCAGGGTTGGGAGACTGTAGAAAAGGGTGATGTGTATACCCATCTGTCATTTTTCACTGAGGGCTGGGGGCAGGGCTCAAGTGGCAGAGCTCCTGTCTAGCCAGTACAGGACCCTATAACGCAAACCCTCATGGAGCTGGGGTAGTTATGTGTGTATTTCATTGTACTGAAATTATATCCCAATACAAAACCGTTTTCAAAAACAAATGCAACAGAAACCACGGGAAAGTCAGAGGATGTGTTGGTTAGTTTCAGATACTCAGTTTGCACACACAGACCAGCCACAATCAAAATTAATAAAGGATGGAACAGAATACCTGTTAACTCTCCTTGGGCATTTCTCTGGCTTGATATCCAATTCATAGTGATAGATGTCAATTTTGGGGATGTCCATTTCAAAGAAATTGGCCTGAAGTTTGATTGTTCTCCCAGAGGTCCCAAAGTCGGGCCGAGGTGGAGGCTTGAAGGCATATCCTTGGATGGGTGGTGGGGGCGGCGCAGGAGGCGCAAGCACTGGAAAACAGAGGGAGAAGTCCATTAGGAGGGACTGCACACTTGTTCCTTGGTGGCCTGAGCAGCTCCCAACCTTGCCACGCCCCTCGCACTTGAGCTCCACACCCCTCCAACTCGGCACATCCACGCACATCTCCTGGGAGCTGCTCCTTCACTTTCCACTCCCCACCCCCCCACTTGCATAGACCACATCATCACAGGGACCCTCTGCATGTGTCCGTCTCTGATGGATCAGTGGCTTTTGACACTACCACTCCCTTTTTTCCCAAAGTACCTGCCTTGGCCCTCTCCTTGCTCTGGTCGGATCCTTGAGATAGTCTTCCTCTGTGCAGCCTTCTCCTGGAGGCCATCCTCTCTGTCCACCTTTTCTGCATGAACCCCCTCAGGGCTCCTTCCTACACTGCAGCACTATCAGTGGACGGGGGTCTGTTTCCAGGCACCACCAGGCTGGAGTGCCAGACCATCCTTGGTGCAAATGCCTCTGTGCCTCCCCAGGCCCTGGGCTGCACACAGATCTAGTCTCAGGCTTATGGTTCACGCGCTAAGGACGTCCCCAGTCGTGACAATCAGCCTTTCACACTCTAGACCCTACACATCACAGCCCTGTCCTACAGTCTCAGACCCAGCGCAGGCATCTTTAGCCTCTCCCTCCATTTCCACTCACTGTAGTCCAGCCAGTGTAAATCTGCTATGCTGTGCCACCGTCTTGCTTGCTGTCCATCTACCCAGTTGGATAGGGCAGAGTAAGAACCCAGAAAAATTTGATCCACCCCTCCACCGATATTCCAGGAAGTTCAGACAGGTATGGGATGGTTCCAAACCACCCAGAAAATGTCCTCTGCAATAACTAAAGTCACCAAGGAGGATATTTAGGACATCCCCAGCCAAGAAAGTCCAACTTTCCTGACGTCAATGCTCACACACACACTAGGCCACACCTAGCCCATTCCGTGGCTTCAGCTGGCTATGTGGGGTACACAAAAGTGCTCAAACATCATGCACTCTTTTTGCCTTTGGCAACCACATCCTAAAATCCTCGTCTTTGCAACAAACCCAAACCATCTTTCCACAGAGGAGGCATCTCAACGTTAGCCCTATTACTGACTGCAGATGTGTCAAGAGTAAGCCTGGGCTGTCACACCCAAGTGCACTTCTGATCTGTGACTGCCTGTGAGGAACTGGAGGATGGAGTACTGTGAGGGACCAGCGGGGCAATCAGGGCCCACAGGACAAGCCTCGCCTGTGAGGACAGCGTCCCCATCTGTCCCCCTCCTTCACTACCAATCACTAAACTGACTCAGAAATTCAGTGAAAAGAAACATAAATTCAACTCAGATTCATAGGAATCCAGGTTGGGAAAGTACAAACTGAATTTAGTAAAAAAAAAAACACAAATACTTGGTCAATGATAGACTACTTTTAATTTACACTCAAATGTCTTTGTTTCAAAACATAAACCCTCTACATTTAGAAAAAAAAATTCCAGGGATTCAGCTCAAGTGTAGAGCACTTGTATAGCAAGCTTGAGGTCCTGGGTTCAATCCCCAGCACTAAATAAATAAATAAATAAATAAATAAATAAAAAGAGCCCACATACTTTAATCCCTACTGACACCCACTGGAAACAAATACTGTACTGAAAAGTGCAGGCGAGCTGCTCGCACAGCATTCATGACCTATGAGAATGCAGAGAGTTCGTGACTTGATGTCATTTTTTTGTGTGTGTGTTCAGTGAGAAAATGAATATGCTTAAAAGGCTACGAATCTCACACCAAGTTATGCCACCCAGAAGCTTTCAGTTCTCTCTGCACTGTGCTACCGTGACTCCGGAGATGACACACTTACAGATCTTTAACACACGTGTACCCTTCAGCAGCACCCTTCCCATGCCCCAAAGACACAGAAATGACCCATGTTCTCCAGCAGCTCTGGGTTCGCAACCCAGCAACAGAAGGCAGTTTCCTCACTTCTTATTAGCGCAGCAGGCCACATGGGGCTCTTCCACCACAGACCCTTACGAAGGCACTTAGATAGAAGGTAGACAGTTAAGTCACACAGGTTAGCCTCTCAGGAAACGTCCAGGCACATGCTCTCCACACCCAGGAAAATAATCCCCTTTTGCTGGGCAGGTCTCAATTTATGAAGCGCTTCTGGGTACTGCCAACCTGAACCTGGCCAGCCCAGGGCAAAGGGTTTGCCACCAAAAGTGAAGCATCCACAAAAGCACCTCGCAGGTGGAGTGCATGGCCCAGGTTCCCCCAACCTGGACAGGTCCTCATTACCCAGACCCGATGGCACAACCCAGGTCTACTTCTCAGGTCAACCCTATTGTCCCATGGAGCCTCCCAGAAAGTCACATTCCTTCCCACGACAAACCGCAGTCTAGCCTATGCTGCCAACATGAGGGCATAAAAGCAGTGTGGGGAAGGGAAAGCCGTATATGCATAAAGTGTGGGGTTCCACAGTGCTTCTTGGGGAGCAATGAAACTACTGACACTTCACCAGAAGGCACATGGAATATAGGACCACAGGCAGAGGTGATGAACTCAGCCTTCCACCCTCCCCGGGAGGGGATCTTCTGAGTGATGTGAGCACTGGCATCGGAAGAGACCTTAGCCTCTTTTTATCACTCAGAGAGCCCCAAGTGTATGCTACCAAACCAAGCAGGAGGGGCACAACAAAACCCCTGGAGAGGCGGCAGCTTGCTCGGCAGAAGCACGCAGGGCTCTGGGGGGAGAGGCGCACACATGGAGCCTATGGTGGGAGCTGGCCATTCCTGGGATATGCAGACTCATGTGCCAAGGCAGAAATCACATGCCCTAAGATGTCAAGGAAAGATTTATAAGCACACACATGTCCACCATGTTTGACACAGATGGCCCTACAGGTTAATTCTAGTTTCACATACAAGTTCTCTCTGATGAACGATTAAGCCCAGATAATAGCCAGAGAGACAGAACTGGCACAAGGACCCACCCAGTCCCCGACTCTGGCCCTGCATCTAGGACAGCTAACATCAGATGGCTTTGCCCACTGAGGTTCCCCACAAGACCCCAAGACCCTGTCCCTAGAAACCCCACTCGCCTTCCTGCCCTGACCACAAGCAGCACAGACTCTCTACTCACCTGGCAACCAGTCACCTAGGCTCGTTTTAAATGTCCAGTTGTGTCTGCCTTAGCCCTGGAAGTCCTTGGGAAAGGGACAGCAGATCCTACTTTTCCACCCAGGAATCCAGACGGGGACTCAGCAGCTCAGGGAAGGGCAGTGCTGCCCCTCAGCCTTTTAATGACACAGCCCTTGGTTGGGGATCCCTCACTAGAATGGTTCCCTGGCAAGGAGACTCCCAAGGCCCAAATCCAGCATGGTGCCAAGGACAGAGCCAGCACTGGGTGTTTCTGACTTGCTGATCACTTAGCACATTTGTTTTAAGGTTCCATTTTTGGAGCCACATCTCAATAGTGAAAGGGAAACACTGTGAATAGCTTCCTGTATGAGCAACTGAGTGGAGGCATGGTTTGGTACACGTGGCACAAGTTAAAACCAAAAGTTTCAGTGTTCATAGCAGACACCAAGATGGGTGCCTATGAGAAAGTCTTCCATAGTAGGAGATGGCTCCTAAAAATCCCAGTGGGGTCACTGGGCTCCTCAGAGCAACTATGACACTTGCCCCTAAAGGCCGTTTCCCAGTGGCAACACCCTGCTCTCCAAGTAAGGATGAGGGGACAGCTGGCAAGCTCATTTCCCAAGTAGCCACGTGCCCTGGTCCTAATGATGCAAACATGTCAGCAGTGCTGACCACTGGGAGCATTTACTGTGCCACTGTGTTCAAGATGACCAGGGGACACAGAGGTGAGTGCCAGTGTCAAGAGGAGGAAAATGAGCCAAGTGTTGGTGCCTCCCACCTGTAATCCCAGCTACTCCAGAGGCAGAGATCAGAAGGATATTAGTTCAAAGTCAGCCTGGACAAACAGTTCACAAGATCCCATCTCAAAAATGTCCAACACAAAACAGGGCTGGCAGAGTGGCTCAAGTGGTAGAACAACTGCCTAGCAAGTGTGAGTCCTGAGTTCAAACCCCAGTGCCCCCTCCCCCCCCCCCGCCTGCAAAAAAAGAAGGGAAACCACACACAAGGTCCTGAGGCACGACCTGCAAGATACCTGTATGTGGGTCAGCCAACCTAGGGCACCCAAGGTCTCTAGCACAGGCCTGGTCCCAAGAGTCAGACACTGTCATCGTTGCTAGAAGGGCCACAGCTTCTTGCCTCGAAGCTGACTAGGTGTGAGAGAGTGGCCAGGTGGGCATGTGCCCCCACCATGTCCCCGTGGGTGTGCTACAGGTAGGTTTCAGCAAGGCCAGGGCCAGGCCCACCCTGGAGATCTTCCTGGTTTTAAACACAATCCAGTTTTCAGGTCCCTGGGAAAAGATGCCCAGGCCCTGCAGGAAACACGTTGTTGGGGACACAGGGCACCAGCTAAAACCTCACCACCCCCTTCTCTCCCACTGGGAACTGGAGGCCCAGGGTGGACATTCTGAGGTCATTTGCTCTACACACAGCCCTGGAATGAAGGCAGAGCTAATGCTTTCTGGGCTTGTTCCCCAAAGAAGCAGGAGGCAGTGCTGTGTGGAAGTGCCCAGCTCACTCCTCCCAAAGCAGTCAGGAAGTGGGTGGGGCAGTTGTCCCCTCTGCAACCTACTGCCTGGCTCCTCCCAGGGACAGGGAAGGTCACCTGCTGCCCTCCAAGAGAACACATGTGTTCTCTCGCTAAGGACGCACCAGAACTGGGAGCTAGAGTGGGGCTGCCCCATACAGCTTAGAGCTCTGCATGGCTCAGCGAGTTTTCCCAGTCAAGGAAAGGGGTCTTGTTTCCCCACCCATGGTGGAGATGTGATAAGGTGACTGCTGTCATGTACTGCAGCTTCTTCAACCCTGAAGATCAAAACTTACTACAGAAAACAGAAAGATCCAAAGCAAACAGAACTGCCTGAAATGCCAGTCCTCA